ATGTGGATTAGTTAGATTTTGTTCATTTGAATTTGTTTTTTTTTAAAAGCATCTATGTTTTGCAATAATATTCAATGTCTTTTTCTTTTGCTAAATCTCCTATTAATTTCAACCTTAACATTGACTATTATAATGAAAATAAAGTTATAATAAACGTCAAATGAGTAGAATTTATCCTAGAGGAAATCGTGTCGATTCAAGCAATTATATGCCACAAGTAAGTCAATTTGAAGTAATTTCTTTTTTTCAAATATCAAAATTTCATAGGTTTTACTGTATTATGATGAGCTTTTTATTTTATTATGTTTTGTCTATTGAGATATTTGCTTAACTTAACCACTTATACAGCCAATATTTTCATAGACACCAATGTAGGTTTTATAAATCTATCTCGTTTATTTTTACCTTTCATTCCTGTATCAGTAGATTAAATCAATTTAGTTATCTAAACTTCTACAATGTAGATTAGATTATGGTATAAACCACTCAGAATATTTTAACTATAAGGGTAAATGATGTGAAAGGAATAATTACTGGCTAAACATTTCGAAATCTATTTGAAATTACAAATAATAAGGTTAGTTAATGCTTACTATCCCTTAGCTTAGTCATCATGACAAAAACTCTCAAATTTAGCCAAGAAGAATCGTCTATGAAGGGCTTTCGTACCTTGTTCCATCTCAACAGACCAGCTGGTACATGTGTACTGAACTGGGTAAGCACACTAACTGATCTCTCATATAGAGGAATATAAGTATCTCCAGTGCGTAATATGAACAACTATACTTCTCAGATAATCAATGTCAAATTATGTTTATTTATTCAGCGTTAATTCGATTTTCATCTCTTATTAGTAATAATAATATGAACATGAATAAGTTGGTCCTTCCCTTTTTTCATCCATTCAGTTTATTCATCTTCTCTGCTCTTTTTCCTATTCAAAACTTTTTTTTACTGATAAATGATGACCTCACATTTTTCTTTTAATGCAATCTATTAAGCGAATTAAAGTAGAGAGGAAAATTGATTACCAGTGTTATGATCAGTTGTTGTTGTTGTCGTCGTGAAATTTAACCTAATTCAATGATCTTCTCTCTCGTTGAATTAAAAATCTCGCTATCATTTCTCTTTCCTCCCTTCTCCGCTCATTGTCTTTTTTCTAGTGTGTATGTATTTATATGTTTGTAAACTGATAACCTTGAGAAAGGTGAAAAAACAATTCATGTAGAATTAATTTATCATTAATTGAATAAATATGTTATGAACTATGTTGATTGATAACTGGGTTATTTTAAATATTTGCATAGATATTTTACTTGAAAGTTACAAAATATGTATTTTTTCTGATTTATTTCTAATATTATCATACTTTTATAAGGATTTTTCATTTTGCAATGATCGTCTGTTGGTTATCGATGTGAGCATTTTTTTCGGTGTTTTTGGACACTGAGTTGAGTTATTAAATTTTGTGAAACTTTTATTGCTGATTCACTTCGGATAAAAATAAACTTTTAATTTTTCTCCACAAACAGTAAATCAATTTGTATGGATGACATCAATTGTGGTTGGTTGTTTACATAGGTTTTTGCTGTTATTGTGTTTTGTTGTGGATAAAGATACAATTATATTTTGGGGCAGACGTTAATTGTAGAATGTAGTACATGTGTTTATTCCAATTGCTCTTCTGTTGACTGTATCAGTATGCTGGTTTAATGTTCTTACTCAGCCTTGTGCTTACCATTTCATGCACATGACTACAATACTGAGTTATGATACTTGACATACAATGTTAATTATTCGAACATGATTCAAGTGATAAGTCGATAAATACGAAACCTCTAACGTCTTTCTTGGATAATTTGTACATGTAGAACTGTACTACACTCTGTTGAATAATAATAATAATAATAATCAACAACAAAATCACTGCAAGCCAATAAACAAATGAATAATTCGTATGTTAGAAAACAGTATAAGGAAGCAAATAGAAAATCATCGATTTACTATTCTGTTATCTTATTTTCTATAGTAAGCAACTAATTGAATTAAATATCTTTTAGAGAGCAAGAACAAAGATTGGCGCTTGCTCTCTTTAAGATAATAAAGGGAACTATGTGTATGAAAATATCTTTTACTATTGTCAGTTAACATTTGCCATCAGTAAATCATGATGAAGTTGGAATTAATAACTTGCGTGTCTTTTTCGCCCAGGTCAAACATTCGAAAATCTTTTTTCGTAATTATCATAATTACGATAAGGATTCAGAACAACGCACTAATTATAACAACAACCATAGTTTTTAATTTTTCTACCTATCCATTACATTAAAAATAAGGCTGATATTATTATTCCATATGATCATATAAGATATACTGATGGATTAATTTTAGTGTCCGCTATCTGAGTCCATAATGAACAACGATGAATCAAGCAAAAAACATTAGTCTCCTGTTTAATTATTATCCTTAGGCCAACTTCTTTAGGCAAAGGCGATTATCAAAGCCAATGATGAGTTTAATTGCATGGATTTTAAACAAGTATGCTAACTTTCATTAGAAAAACAGTGTGCTTCACACAATGACGTGTTGTATGAATAACCGAAATTTAATTGACGTTGGTTAATAGGGGGATATTGGTTTTAAGCTTATTCGTTATATACGCTTCCTATACGTAAATACTCATAAGTTAATTCAACGGTTTGAATGAAGTTATTGGGATTACAATAATCTTAGGAAATATCACCCTCCAGATATCCTTTGATCATACTATAGTAAACTTTTAACATCTATTTTAAACATACTTCTGGCATTTTATTGTTCTTTTATAAATTATGATAACTGCCCAAACTATCTACTGAATTAATGAAACATGAATGATTAACTACTTTTAAAATGTGTAGTTTTAAAAAACTTGTTGTTATCCCCATAATTTGCTGTTGTTTATATCTTACATAGTTTAAAGCATTTGACATAAAACCGTGAACTTTAATTTCATGCTGTTTGACGCTCGTCATCAAGGAATACCTGTAAACTTCAGGTTGTTGATGTCCCTTGATATGTTTGAACACTCATCTCGCAGCTTAACATAGCGAGATGTTAGTGTTGAGATTGTCAAGCCAAGACCAATCTCTAGTAGGACTGAAGCATTTACAACTAACTGATCTCTGAATAATGACTAATATCATGTTTATATTTTAAAATGTGTATATTCAACAAATGTATTTAATCAAAACCTACTGTTTTTTAGAATGTTTGAGGAATGTGCTCTCGGTCAACCAATATTTTGAAATGTCAATTATTATTATTATCTTATCACGCTTAATTTTTTTAATATTTACTTTCTTAAACGATCGAAAATCGGTTTGAAGTGTCATATAATTGCTAATAAAAGTATTTATTTCTGTTTTCTCTTCATTGCCTCCATAATATTCCACTTCATTTACTGGTTAACATAATCGTTATTTCCTCCAAAAATATTCCGTATCACTTATTCTTTTGTGTATGCGTGTGTTTTAATTACCATGACAGATATTTTGGAATGCTGGTTGCCAAATGGTTGCGTTGAATTTCCAAACTCCTGATTTAGCCATGCAGTTGAACCAAGGAAGTTCGAATACAATGGTAATTGTGGGTAAGTTATTTTACCTATTTTCTTCATTTTTCCTCATGTCTATTTTTATGGTACGGTTTCTTCCCGATTTATAACTCAGACGTATTTTGCTATTCTTCATGGTAAATATTGTTCTAAGTGTACATAAGCGTCAATGGAATACCCTGTTTTTAATACTCGATTATGGATTATTACATCACAGATAATAATCCAACCCCATTATTGTTTTTTTAAAACAACTGACTAAGTCTCATTAACTTTCATGTAGTAAATATTGACTCAAAGACAAATGAAGGAAATTGTAATTGATTATCATTTTAGACTAAACTGTATGGATGATCATAGAGGGACCAGTCTCATTCATTGTATTGTGTCTTCCCGCGGAAATATTTAGTAAAAGGCGAAAGAGTTATCCACAAATAAGGAGGCATCAATCTCACATATGCTAAGTAAATTCAAAAAACTAACTGATTAAGTATCTGGATTCTTACGAAATTATGGTGAGTTTATGTCGTGTTTCACTAATTTAGAGTGAAAATTCATTTGTCAAAAAAAATATTCATAAGGCATTATTCTTTATAGTACTTGGCATACCAAACAATTGCTTGTTTGTATAAGCTTATGTGTGTCCGCCTTCATTTATACATGACACTTGTACAATGGTTACACAAGATTAAGCAACTGATTAAACGATTGTATTTATTCATCCACATATCGTCAGTGAAGTAATATGTTCTGGGACTTTGTGGCCAGGTATTTCATATATTTTATTTATTTACGTAACGTCATTATTCTTTCTTTTATTTACATGGTTTTTTCAATATCTTCATTAACTATAAACCCATTTTTATGCAATCATTTGATGTTTTCCAAATATGTATGGTTATTTGAAAGTTACCTGAGAATAGGTTATACAATTTGAAAACTCTTTATGCTATCATTGCACATAATTTGAATATTTATTCTTAGCCAATATGTTTCTTTTATTATTGGTTAAGGGGTTTTAATTTTTTCCCTTTGTTGATACTGATGACAACATTTTATTAGTTCCTTAAAGGCATATAGACTTCTAAATCAAATGTCTCGATATTATCTACATTCATTAGTTGATTAGTGACTATCAGTAGGATTCAGAAAACTTATTTTGTACTATTTGAAATTTATCATGTGCATGTAATTACATCGTGACGTATAGATCTACTGGAATAGCTCCCTGTTGTGTAAAGTCATTGTGTACTGGGTTCAATTATCAATGTTAATTTCAACAATGGGCTGCAAATACATAGGGCTAGTGAGTACAAAATTAAACGGAATGCGCTTACTAAATTTCGTTACTAGCTACTCTTGAAGATATAACCAAACGAACTGATGTATTTACTTTTTTTATTAGTATTTGATTCCCAAATAAACTGGTAATTAATCATTGGCGCAGAAAAAAATTATTTCTATCACTATATATTTATTATTATTATAGTGAAAACGTTGACAAATGGTCACGTTCAACAACACAGTTGTCAATATTAGTTCCATATATATGGTGTCAGCGCATTATATATATAACGTTACAAGTGGAACTGGCGTAATAGATGTGTTTATTTTTTGTATGTGATAGCACAATAATAAGTTTTCAATTTTCTAGAAATCATGAACAGAGACCCGTAAATCTTCCTTCTTCTTCGTACGTTATTAGCATTCTGTTTACACGAGAGAAAAAACAGTTTCTGTTCGATAGTATCTTAGCAGATAATTTTTTAGGGTTTGAAATAATAGATATTAGGCTTGCGTCACACCTGTAGGGGATGTATGTATATGTATGTGAAATTATGAATGCACTTTTGAATCGCAATCCAAATGATTTATCTAACAATTATCATAACGTTCCGCAGTAGTTTAGGTACGTTTTCAGTAAATGTATCTTTTATAAACAACAATTTTTTACCGATAAATATCAAGAATTTCAAATGCATTAAGATTGTAATACATCTTTTATAAACATGATAACATTTGAATGCTTCCCAAAAACGAACATGCTTTAATTTCTTAAGATATTTTTAGTTTATTTCCTATAGTTACATAATCTGACATATTTTATTGGTAATATATCTGGCTATTGAATGCTTCCTACTTATTTACTAGCCGCCTTTTGTATCACCTAAATACTCCTAGGTTTAAGCCCCAATACGGTAGACATAAGATGTGAAGTAAGAATAGATGCTTTACTTCAAGCCTTTTTTATATGGAGCAAGCAATATTAATTATGGGTTTATTGATAATATTTAAACTGTAAACAAGATCCTCAAAATATGCCATATATATATATATATATATATATATATATATATATATATATATATAGTACTGGTTCTGTCAGGAAATGTGGACAGGGAATAATCAAGATGATGTAATAGAACGATTATAATGTTAGATTACGTAATATGAATAATAACAATATACTTAATAAGTTAGTAACGAATTATAACGTGAATGTAGTAAGATAATTAAAATGTTTTTATTACAAAAATTATAGGTAATTAAAGGTTATAGAGATGAGAAATAAATGAAGTGATATCATGAGCAATTACGAATAAAATAATGAGAATATGAGACATAAGTAAAGGGAGAAATTCAGTAATAATAATGGTAAATTAAGGCCAAGGTGGTGATAACAATAGGCCATACTTATTTTGTATGCATAGTTCTGGCTTGAGCTCATGGATGGTAAGAGCTTCGGCTAATTTTAGGAGTTGGATACGAAGGTCATGTCTTATGTTAATAGCATTTAAATGACACGAGTGATGCTAATGAAGTCATGTTGTTGCAATTAATACTGTAATGAACGAGAACTTAACTGTGAGAAAACCAATTTATTATTTAATGTAAAATTATAGAGTGCCTTACATACATTAAACACATTATTTATACATCTTCCTTCAGTTGTCCTTGACATGCTTTATAATTCTTTCGATTCTGTTGTTATCCTGATTGTTCTTCCCTTACATTCCTGTTCTATTCAATTCAATTTTCTCAATATTCTGCTGGTAGGCATTTCATTTTGTGCTACATGCTACTTGAATCTATCAACATAAGTAGCATAGACCACAGTACTATCATATGAACTAGACAATGCACGGATATACACTGGTTATTTCATGGATGATTAATTTTACTTTAAAAATCCTGATCATCATTATAATCAACTTTGGAATATTCCATTGAAACATATTTAAGTTGATAACAGTTTAAAAAATAATTAACTTACAGTTTGCATCGCGGACTGATCTTGACTAGAGCATCATTTACAACTGGACATGCTTCATTCTATTTTGAGACTTTTCATTAGTGAGCATTCATGACTACACCTAAAATTAAACCCCAGGATCTCGAATTTTCGTAGATAACACTCAATCTCTGGACCACCCTGTTGGTATTCAGTGGAGTAAACGTCTGATTTCGACAAGTTTTCGATACTGTGCGGTCATCTTCTATTGGTTGCTGTGAACAACTCTCTCAAATCCTGGTTACGACTTGTTACAGGATCTGCATGAATCTCAAAGTTACTCATGAATGAGCACATGACTATTTTTGGGATAGTGACTTTTGTGAAGATTGTAGAGTTCTCATCCATGTCATGCGTGAGACTGTTATTCACTTTAAGAAACTAGAATAGTCGCAAAATATCGAGAGTTGATTAAAATTAGGCATTCGCATCATTCGATATTAGATCAGTGGTCTTAAGGTTAATCGTTTATTCGTGGGACCAATTGACTGTGTTTCGATCCTCAGTGCGGTTGCGGATACGTACTTTTGAGGAGTTCCTTACTGAGACAAAACAACCGTCCAGTACTTCTTGGTTGCGAATGATTGTCTAGCTAACATCGATCTGTTGTATAACCTATGAAGATGCCAGGATTTCGACAACTTCAACTTTCCTGAATAATTTAAACTTGTCTTTACGAGTAAATAATATGACTGTTGCTTAAATCTCGTGTCAAAATATCTTACTCGGTTACCTATAAATAAATATATCATTGTATTATGCATGTGGTAAAAATAAATAAAATTTTTAAATAAATTCAATTTCAGTTATTTACTAAAACCGGAGTTTATGCGACGTCCAGAGCGTCAATTTGATCCATTCTCTGAATCTCCAATGGATGGTGTTATTGCAGCTACATGTGAAGTGAAAATTATATCAGGACAATTTTTATCAGATCGTAAAGTTGGCACATATGTTGAAGTAGATATGTATGGTTTACCAACAGATACAATTCGTAAAGAATTTCGTACTCGAGTTGTCCCTAATAATGGATTAAATCCAGTGTATGGAGATGATGCTGTTTTTGTATTTAGAAAAGTGAGTTTATTATGTTAAACTTTTATATAACGGTATTAGCATAACCGTATTATTTATAGTAACTGATGATAGAAAATAAATTAATTGTAAAATAATTTAGATCATTGATCTCTGAATCATTATTCTAAATAAAAATGAAGAAGGACTATATCAGACCGTTTTTGTTGTTGGGCATTCAACTGTTCGACCTTCTCCAGCTTAGTTTTTTGTTCAATTTTTTGTCTCGTTTTGACCAAAATTATGTTAATTGAAATCACAAACCGATCTAAAATAGATAATCATTAAAAACATGGAAGCACTTTTCTGCCGTTCCGTCCTGTTATGAAACTCCTTGGCAGAGCACATCCACGACCCCACGACCTAGAATCAAACCAATGACCTTTGATCTTGAGTGTGAGCACTTAATAGTTTCTCACTTAAACTTTTGATTACAATCACATACATGCAATCTCACACTACACTCTGTGGATATATTTCACGTTAAACTATTGATATTCAGAATATCAACCATATTGAACACATGAAAATGCTGAGAGAGTTATTCAGTGTATAGTTGTTATTTATCCTTCATTATTTATTCAAAGAAAATTGAGCTTGATTGAGTTATACATGTGCTGATGCACCAACACCACCTAAGACATAGAATCCTACCAGAAACTTAAGCTGATGGATTTTTATATCAAGTCCAACGTTACTTATTACTGAGTGATTGACTAGTCCAGACGGTTAGATAGCATTGAAACTACTTAGTTTTAACCTGTAAGATCTATCAAAACAGTTTTTTAATATCTTAATATTTATTCAATTCTATTTGTAATTAGTACGATATCTAAGTAGGCTTTATTTATGCACTGTACAATACGATAAACGTTTTAATAAAGTTGTATGTAGTAACACATTATATAGAGATTCTAACATTTTTGGGATTATCACAGTTGTTGAGCAGCTTGCTGGATGTCTGACAAATGACATCTATCGCATGTACATTGATGTAGATGTGCTATCTCTCTACTTGTTAAATCGACTTTCTTTCTTAATAATGGCGGAAAAAGTCTTTTAAAAGTTTAGGACAAGTATAAACTGCTTTTGTCTGAGTAAAAGTGTATAAGGAGCATTAAACACGTTTTATAGAGCCACTGGGTTTTGAATCTCAAACGGCCTATAATAATATAGTAACTCATCAATGAAATTTAATATGGATAGTGTTTACAACATAAATAGATGGAAATACGAAACTAAATGATTGAGTTCTGACTACTTGCAATTATTATTAATGGCTTTATTCAATATTATATTTTGGTACAATATACAATTCTCAGGTATCGTGCTCGTTTTAACACTTGAATAGCCTTGTGTTCAGTCTTGAAACAAATCAGAAATCCACATCAATCAATGAACCTCAGTTACAGTAAACGAACTTTAACGCTTTCCTTGTTTTTTCAACTTTTCTCCAAATGAAGTCATTTCTTCATGAAAATAGTTTTAATCTCAAGTTTTCAATGAATCGTACGTAATGGCATCATTTTCTATGTTTTAACCAACAGTTTAGACGCTTTGGCTATTGAGGTGTTATAATTCTTATACAGAATTTCATTAGAATATTTTATTTCTTGCTAATAAGCTTACGGAAAAATGGTGTGTACGCCTAAGTACTTTGCGTCCAAGTAGTTAATTTCCTGAGAATTAATACCAACGTTGGTTTTTACATGTTTGCCATAAATTATTTTTGACTGAAATATTTTTATTTAAAATTTTCTTTATTTAGGTTGTTCTTCCAGATCTTGCCGTATTACGATTTGCAGTTTATGAAGATACTGGAAAATTAATAGGTCAACGTGTTTTACCATTGGATGGTTTACAAGCTGGTTATCGTCATATATCTTTACGTACTGAAGGCAATTTCCCGCTTTCTTTACCTACTCTGTTTTGTCAAGTATCACTTACAACATATGTTCCTGAAGGATTAAATGATTTAGTTGATGCTTTATCAGATCCTCGTGCGTTTTTAAGTAAAGAAGAACAACGAATGAAACAAGTAAGATTACCAAATATATTATTTATTATTGTTTGAAGATTCAATTTCCTTTACTGTGTGCTGTTAGATTACCGATTCTCTTCAATTTTTATTCTTACTACCCTTCTTCAATTTTGGCTAATGTAACTGTATAATGTATATGAACCATTTTTAAAATTTATACATTCTGTAACAATTCATAGATTGTGTTATGTCAGAGCTGTTTATTTGTTTGTCTTAACTTTGTGATTAGACAATATTGTAAATTCTTTATATATTCTGAGATTTTTTATGCAAATAGGTAATTAAATGAATAAAACTATTTCAAAAATGAAACATAACATCAGTGGTAATAGAATATTATCTCTTAGTGTCACAATTTGACTGAATTTATTGATATGAACTATTAGATTCCGACTCATTAGTCTGGAGTTATACTCCAAAGGTTTTGGGCCTCATCTTTTAGAGATGTCATCGCTGCCTACTGCTGAAATAAAACTCAAACTAGGATGAAATACCTTTCCATCGTCTCCCTGTCTACAATGATTCTTCAGATAATGAAAAAAACTGTATGATTCATTAGTTGAGAGTGCTGATTACCGAACCCGATAAGGTTTTAATTCTTTTTATATAAACTGAATTTGTATAAGTTTGTCTTTTCCGAGGTAAAATATATTCTAATTATACAGTACATCACATATATTCAACAAATTCATAACTATGTATAGCTCAGTTTATCCTTCATTTAATTGTTTGGATTGGGTCTTTAAGCGCAGTAACACAGTACAGAGTAATTCATTTATTATTCATATCGTCATTGAGGGACATTTTACGTGAAAGTGTTTAGTAGATTTCTTCCAGTATCTTATCACCATCTTTAGTAATAGGCATCGTTTTCTAATAATCATTTGCAGTGCAGAATATTGTATTTCACTCATTCCACTTCAGATTTATATATCAAATATATTAGCTGAAAACAATCAATATTTGCATGATTTGTGGTTTTGTCTGAGGCACGTAATGAGCATAACTGCTATGAATGTGGTGTTAAGTTCAGTGTTAATCGTGTTGATTGATAATGTCGCTTAGAACATTTAAACTTTAACCCTACTTTCATATACCTATAATCTTGGAGAAGTATTCATTCTATTATGCAACCAAACTGTCAATACAATGATACATTTCCTGCTCGAATAATATCACAAAACAAAGTTTTCTAACCAAATACAGAATGCTTTTGTTCGTTTGTTTTGTTTACAAAATAAAACCAATTTGAATAATGTTCTGTTGCATAGACTAAATATACGTTCAATCAAAAGTAAGAATAATAGAAAAAGTCACATTGTTTGTTTGAATAATTTTTCTGGTTAGCATCTTTTTAGCGAGTTAGTTTTCTACGGGGTGGGGACGCTAACTCCACGCCCAACCCTCCTCCTTTATCCGGGTTAATATATATTCTGAAAACTAACTATATTGCAAAATACATTTTGCACTGTTTCAACTTTCACATTTCTTAGTTATTTGTAGTTAACGTTACTTATTCGGAATATGATTATATAATTACGTTCAAAAGCTCTATACCATAATCCTCCTGCCCTATTAATGTGTGATTATTTCTTATGTTTTCTATTCATTTTTTTAAACTAAAGTATGTTGATTACTTCCTTTCCGAAATATAAATTTTCTTTTAGCTCGCCAGTATGGGTATTGATTCATCAGAAATTGCTGATGTACCGTCAACCGGTGGTGGTGGTAATGCTAGACGTGTTGGGGGCGGTGCCGGTGGTGGTAGTAGTAGTGGTCTAGGAGGTACTTCTGGACAATTAAGTGGTTCTATTATGTCTAATATTTCCGGCTCTGGCGAAACTTCAAATGTTTCGTCGAACAGTACTAAAAAAGATGAAAAGAAAGGTAATTGGAGTTTACAGTTATAAGATGATTTGGTTTTTCTATAGTCTTTTTTCGTTCCCATATCAGCGAAGTAAAGTTATGTAATAGACTGTGTTCACATTGTTTTTATTTACGTGCACACTTTGATTAAGTTGTTAGATGTTTTTTAAAGAAAATTTCTCAATTAAAGTTGATGGTTTATCATAGATAAATGTTACTAATATAATAAATTCGATAAACTAAGATTCACTGCACACTAACTCTGAGCTCTTTACTTGTTCTCTTGTCGGTTCTCTGATACTCTTCGTGTATGATACCTGTGACAAAGTAAACTCAGTGAGAATTGGTGTTAGGTTTCTATATGTATGCAATTCTCTGTAATTGCATTGTGATTTACGAAAACTATTTTATTTGTATAAATGTATGAAAAAATTGTAATTAATCAACCTTTATCAATCGAATTCTAATTACCATCAAGTTGTTAATACTATTTATTTACTCACATTTCAACGACAATATGCAATGCTATCAATGATAGTAGTTTGGATGAAGCTGGATAGTGGCCAATCCGTTTCATGGTACCAATTTATTAAACCATTGGCTGTTTGACTGAACGTCTGTTAGAAAGTGTTAACCACCTGGTTGTGAAGTCTTATTTGCTTTAATATATATTTGTTCTGATATTCACTAGACATACCTGAATTCATTTCTCATGACTTTTGTGTAAAAAAAAACTTACACTGATGGATATTGTCATTATCTCAGGCTCACACACAGAAATAGCTAATACGTTAATAAACACGCATGTACTGAACACTGCAGTAGCAAAATGTGATATGTTTCCTATTGAATATTTTTTGACAGTTTATTCACTAATGATAGTAGTTAGCATATTTATATAGTTCTATGAATAATGACGAGTTAATGTTTTTAAACGTATTGGCCAGTATCTTAAAGGATATTCCTCCACTTTTATTCAATGCGATTTTAACTTCTATACAAGGAATCAAAGTAACCTGCTATTGTATATGAGACAATTATTGTCGGTAACGGAATAATTAGATTACAACTTAACGTTTAGTCAATATTGCAACTGACTTGAAAGATTCTACTATTGATAAAATTTCTTATCCAGTTGGAACCCAGGTTCTGTTTCAACATGTAATCAATTATTCATAACAAAAAACATATGCACTATGTTCATTCTAACAAATACTTCCGGTATTTAAATTTATTCTGTTATTATCCATAAATCAAATAATTGTTTATCAGTAAGAAGTATCGCAAAATGATACAGTATTATTTATTGAATCACGCTGTGGATATAAATTAATGCACATAGTTGTAATACTATTCGTACATACATTTCTTTTCCAATCTTTAACCTAACTAAATTAGCAACATAACGTAATAATTTGATCATGATTTGTCCTCGATTAGAGTAAGCAATAATAACGTAGCACTAATCTGGGCGCACGAGAACACTATTTTCGACCACACATAAAGAACCACAGTATGGGCCAAACAATCATTTTATGAGCTCAAATGCAAGGAGTTACACACGCTATGGAGACCTGAATAGAAGTTTGTTACAGAATAAGGATAATGATTTATAAAACAAACACTAATGAGCCTGTTGTTCTTCCATCTGTTGCCGATCATGGCTCATTTTCATCTGACACTAATCGAAATGCGTTTAGTGCCATAATATGTTGTCGTATGTAACGTAATAGAAGCCAGTCGTCGAAATTGTCTGTATCTTTTAATATTTCACTTAAGTCCTTCATTTTAGGGTTTTATTGAATTTCAATTCCAAAATAATCTGGTAGACCTTCATCCACTGCTCTAACTTAAGTGTTCGATCAACTTCTGTGAGTTCTGTAACAAACCTCTTTACTCCTTAATCGGCCAATTTATTACTCAAAACACTCATCAGTGAATTCGATACTATTGGTCGTGAACTCGTTTCTAAAGTATAAATGTTCATCGAGGGTATCGTATAATTGAAAGTACTATTATGTATTATGATAACTGTTGTTCTCATATCTTATAAGGAAATATATTAAGAAACAAAATGAATGAGCATAGGATCATTAGTATTCCTCTTATCAAGAGAAATATTTAATGAATAAGTGATGAAACATGTTATTGATAGTAATAAGAATGATAATAACAATCAGTTCTTTAAAAATGTATTATAAAATTGGGGATTACATTTCGCTTATGTCAAAATAAGCATGTATTCTTAAAGATCTAAATTTCAGTCATTAGGTGTCACGTCTGAAATATGCAATATTGATAAATTAATACAAATCATACCTAAAAATATGTCTATTGTAATATCATAGAACAAATTGCATACAAAATATATGACGTAATTGATTGAGAATATACTTAACCATGTTCTACTTTACTTTCCTCTTTGTATTGTTTTCCCCAATATCAACCTTAAATATTTTTTGACATTTATTTTGACAATAATTAATAATAATAAATTGCATCCATAATGGACTAATCAGTAATTAAAACTGTTTTTGTTTATGATAAAAATATAGTTTACTAATGAAAGTGTGATTATTCCGTACCAATTTAGTCATTGTTAATTTTTTTGTCCAACTTACATATATATTTACTTGTATTTAGATGATCCTAAATTTGATCCGATCTCGATCAGTTTATTACAAACGGATAAAATGTATCAAAAATTGATTAAAAAACAGGCAAAAGAATTAGAAATTTTACAGAAACGACAAGAAAAAGATGCTGTCACTATGTTACGCAATCATACAATCATCACAGATAAGCTGAATACAAGCCATGCTAAAGAACGTTCAAGTACAAAGCGATCAGTGAATAAGTAAATCAATGTGTTGTTTTGTTTTTCATTTATTCTTGTTATATTAATTGAACAATTTATGTAATTGTACATAGAGATGACAAAATATTGAATTGAAATTATTCATTTATGGTTACAGAACAGGTTCTTATCGTTGAATTATGTTTTTAGAGTAAGCGTAAAATTTTTATAATCAGCTTTACCTTGTCATTAAAATTAGAGAAAACATTAGAAAACTAATCAGTAGCAAAAAATATATAGGAGAATAGTTTGAAGGCGAAATTCAGTGAAAGACGATATGTTTTTAGTGTGTAGATTTTTTGATGGGGGTATGGGAGTTCTTGATTTTGGTGTCATTTTACATCACAGTTTCTTTTTAGACAAGTACTGGTAAGCTGTTTCGTTTTACTATGGGACTCCCCATTAGCGTACATCGTTGATTTCACCAGTGATCGCTTAGTTGTCAGTCCCACTGGGTTCAGATCAAATCATTTACATTCATAAGCGTGATCGGTCCACGATAATATACAACCGTCATTTTTTGGGGATGCATAATGTTTATCCCACATCTCACATTTTGAATAAAGTGGCAAACAAATGTTTCAGCAAAGAAACAAGAGCAAAGTCTTAAGAGATTCTTTAGGAATATTTATTAGTGCGGGGATAAATGTATGGATCATTTATTACTTCCATTATATGACGTTTTATTGAGGTCTTACACACCAGTTTAGAAAATAAATAATTACGTTCTCATTATTTCTGCCTACATATATCATTAGTACAGTGTTGAAGTCGCTCAATTTTACAGTAACAAATGAATGGGGAAATGGGTTAAATGTTTGGAGGTAGCTAGTAGGACATTCTTGACCTTGATTTCGTACTTATTGGGACTCGTTAGTACGATGTACCTGCAATTTAGGTGGAAATAATTCTTTTTTTTACACAAAACGAGAGAATTCTTTTTTTGACATTCGACCACGTACTGTACATTTATGTTAACTCGCTATTGAAAAATCACTATTTCAGAGACATAAAACGGGAATCTTTAAACCGTTTTAACAAGTGGCTCTAAAGAGAACTATGTCACGTTCTCTTCGTTCTATAGCCGTCCTGGACAAAACATTAAGCATCTTTCTATTAGATCTGATGTCTATCTGGGCTTCATTAGTGCCTCAGATGCTACCAACTGATAGAGCAGGATTCCCTCCTAGCTACCCTTCTATATACCGTCAGTTCCTACAATATCCTTTAAATAACAAGCTATGGTTTTCTAATCTTGTGTGCTGAAAAATAGTTCTATATTTGACCGTCTGTCCCACTCGTTATCTATGTCTTCAGCTCCGAACTTGATTAGTTATGCAAATCATTGGATTAAATCCAGAATGAGGTGATTAGTACCAACATTCATAAATTTCAAAACCACCACAAAACACCTGTTCAATGTTCCTTGATTTTTAATATTATTTTAGTTCTGTGTTACTATGTGATAAAGATTATACATAAATTCGACTAATCTTCACAAACAATGCATAAACAATTTTCCTATTCTACTATAATATATATTTGTTTTAAGGAAATCTTTACTCAATAATCATTAAATAACTCAACTGCTTTCTAGATTCGATGATTATTATGTTAAGTTTTCAAGTTATTCGATTTTCTTTTGTGGCTGTTGACAATTTCACAAACAAGAAATAACTTCTAGTTTATCGACTACTTATTTCCGGGTTTTTTTCTCTTGGAAAAGTTTATTAGTTTATTGAATTGAATAGACCCAACTAATTTATGAAATAGTCTGTTCCCTTTACATTAATTGTACACTTTAATCATAGATTGAGATTAGCTAGAATCACTATTGAAACGTAAAATATAAGTGGGATAACTTTCATTGCTTAGTCTCTGTCAATAGAATCTTTTTCAATAAAACTATTGACTTAACATTATTTTTGATCCAATATTGATTATATAAGTGAGTATAGGAAACATGTATATACATAACATTTGAATTTTTCTGCAGAATTTAGTTGAATACTGACTCAAAACATACAATTCTTCATATATATATATATATATATATATATATATATATATATATATATATATATATATATATATATATATATATATATATATATATATATATATATATATATATATATACTGGTTGGTCAGCAGATTATATGATATGGAAGTATTCCCATTGTATGTGTATATATTTCTTGTTCTTCGGCTGTAATAAACTTGGTGTAATAATTTTTAAAATCTTAGCTATAATCATAATATTTGAATGGAATTAAAAGATCTTAATTATATGAATAAAAATATGAACAATGAATAAACATGATGCCTTTTTTTCACTTGGATGTTTTGTGGTAGTTACATAACGCTGTATTAATTATTCATTTAAAATATAATCATCGAGCATTTCAATATGTGAATACAAAGTCCGTATTTCCAACCGCATATTATATATATGAACATACTTGGTATTGTAAATCCTGATAATGAATTCGTTGAGAAATCCTTTTTTCGTTGAATTTCGTGTGTGTTTTCCTAAATGCTTTAATAGAACTTCTAAACTTACTTACTGTAGTTGAATATAAAAAAAATTGTTTAAGAATGTATTTTGCAAATTGATCCCTAACCAACTAATTGATTTTTTAAACAATTAAGAATTTTTTCATATGAAATTCTTTCTCACTTCTCTCACTACTTTTTTTCGTCAGTCTAGTCAAAATAGCGGGTTGACAGCAAAGCGTAAATCATTTGGCTTCTCTTTTTCATTATAGAGCCTGACATAAACTCTGTGTCGACATTAGTCATCACTTTTTGTGCCAATACAGCGAGAATAGTAATAAACAATTTTCTTTTAAAAAATCGTTAGTTACGAATAATAATGATATCAATAATAGTGGGCAACTAATCATATTATATGTAATTTTGAAAGCAATGATCAACATCAGTAGTATCAATGAAAGTAGAAGTAATTTAGTGTATTCCAATAGATAATTTAATGTTTAAGTGTTAGCATCAAAAAAGAAACTTATTTGTATTACACATACTACCAGGTTTAAGTTAAATAACCAGAATTAATTTGATGCTTCAAAAGTCAAAAATCTAAATGCTTCTACTATTGAAAATCCATTGCTTACTAATATAAACGTTCTCTATCATATTAGCCAAGCTTATCTGTTCATCCGCTATATAGGATATTTTCATAGATTGCTTGGTAACTTTCAAATGTAATGCTTATCAATCACTAATATTTAGTAACTTTGTATACTGTATATAAAACAAAACATTTCCTAACCATGAACATTTACATTTATACTAGTTAATTTAACTGTATTTACGTAATAAAATATATTTTTCTTCGTTCAATCCTTGATAAGTAATAGTTAATTTTACATCACCTTAAAATGTCATGGTAGGAATCAATCGTACAAATTTTACTTTGATTAACATATAATATTATTTTCATTTGTTACCATTCATTCAACAGTTTATTTATTAATTTATACATGGAATTTGATGAACATTAAATTGCAACTTTGTGATTCATGGTAACATACATGGGCAACAACTGATGGGAAATCTTTTTAGGATTGATTCTATCTGATGTTATGAGTGTTCATTGAATAATAGGCCTTAACTTTGATGGGATATAACTACTCAGTGCATATCGACTTTTAACTAATGTTCATCTAGTATTAGTTTATAATGAAAACTTTTCAAAATAAGTATAATCATAAAATATTTCAAACTAATTTTTTATAAATAAAGTGTTGCAACTTGAAAAACTACAATTGTTAAAATTATTTCTTTCTTCATAATTATTATTAACAGCATTAGTTGTCGTTCATTTTTATATTTAATGGTTGCATGAATATTTCCTTTGATGCTAATAATTTTAATTGGTCAGTCTCTTTTGACATATGTGCATCCTGTACAAATTATGTTAGCTGGGTTGTAGGTAGTCGACAGGAAATCCTACCCGGGCTAGGCGTATTTGTAATTTTGATAGGATTAATATTCTTTGGTGGATTCGAATCCACGACATCCAGCTTCACTGAATAAAATGTCATCACTGAGCTGTTCAGGTCGTGACTGACCTCCTGTCTGATAGAGTTATTTATCATAGGTTGGTTACCTCTCAGTGATCAACCACTTATAAAAAGGTTTTTATTGATCTAGAATAGATGGAAAGTAGTCATTATTGGAGCTGATAATGCGCTTTCCGTCCCATTTGCGAATTATCGGTTGGATTTACCTGTATCCCAGAGTTGATGTTTGCTCCAGTACTCGAACTCATTAGTGTTCGCTTTAAGCGCCGCTGCGTTTCTCACTTAACTACTGAGTCCAAGTAGCCAGTCACTTGTCAACAGGTATGAGTTTTAATTCAATTTGAATTGACTTGGATTGTTCAACTGTTGATATTGTGATTGAAACTTGATCAGCTTTAGTTGGCATATGGCTATCTTGTGGGCATTACCTCAATAAAGCCATTATGACACAAGTCAACATAATAATAAATAAAATGTGGCTAGTAGTGGCTGTCTGGCTACCTGCACTCAATAGCTAGATCGATAACGTGTTAACATTCAAAGCAAACGATACTGGATTAGAGTCCTAGAGTAAACATCATTTCTAGGATACAAGTACATCCAATTAATAACTCTCAAACAGGACGAAACACACATCCTAGATTTTACTACTAGCCACATTCTATCTATTCAATGTTGACTTGTGTCATAATGATTTAATTAAGATATTGGGCACAGAATGACCATATTACTAACCAAGGCTGATCAAATTTCAATCAAAATATCAACAACTGAATAATCAATATCATTTTAAATTAGATTATTTATCACATAATCTTATTACTATTAACATTATTATTGTCTTTTTATTTCATATCCCAGATAAATGTGTCAACGCATGATATAATTTTATTCTAGGTAATATAATAAACATTGAACATTAGATGAATCTAATGTTGATTGTTGTTGTGTTTTTTT